TGGACCCTCTCGCTGAAAAACTCGGCGCTGCATGTACGTCACTCGGTCGTGATTGGTAGAGGAGTTGGTACTGTTTCAGTGGGGGCCACACGAGCTGCTGTGGATGCCGGGTACTGTAGCAACGACTTGCAGATCGGGCAGACAGGGAAGGTGGTAGCGCCGCAGCTGTAGGTTGACTTGAATGATGGAAGGCTCTGATTTACATTCCGGTCAGATATATCGCAATTGGCATTTCTGGTGCCATCCAGCATACTGCGGGTATTAAGGACTCCAAATGCATTGTTGCCATCAATAAGGATGCTGAGGCTCCGATCTTCCACGTAGGTTTTGTTTTAGGCATCAGCTATGGTCGAATGGTGTCGATGTCAGGTCGCGGACTACGGGTTGGTTGGTGACCTTTATAAGATCGTTCCTGAGCTTACTGCTAAGCTCTGAGAGTGTGTGATGTGATTGACCCTGTTTCTGTCTACAAGGCTGAATCGCGAAGTGTGTATTGCTGAGCAAAGGCGCACTCTGGCGCCTATTACGAATAAGGTGTTTGGCAACTGAATAGAAAGTCTCGAGATTTGACCTATGTGGTTGTGTGGTGAATTCACAGTGGGAGTTTTGGCACATTTCTCAGTGCATTTTTAAGACTCTCTCTAAGCGAGACTACGATGGCTGACGAAGAAGGAGAGGTAAGCTCGACAGCCTTGGGCTTTAAGATTCGGAGTTGTTGATAGGAAGAGTATATGTCGGAAAACGTTCAAGAAATCGTGAAGCATGCTATGGACCATACTCTTCAGAATGCCATCTATTCTAAGGACAAAGTTAACACTTGGTAGAGTCGCTATGTGGGGCTTCTTGCACTGATTTGGGTAGGTGCAATCAGCTGTTGGATTCGTGTTTGAAGGAATTAGCAAAGCTCGATAAACCGTTCAAATACATTGGTATGGCAACAGGGTATTGATGCAGATGCACTAACGTGTGTATGGTGTCAAGTTACGTGTGTGATCATGCAGAAGAACGGGGCGCCGCTGAGCACTGCAGCCACGTGTTGGTGGGATCTCAAAACTGATGGTCTTACTTGTGTGCAGGTGGAGAAGGAGACACTCGATTGTGAGGGGGAGATGCTTTCAGG